CCTCCTCCGCAGGCTGCCTCTGCACCGTCGGCGTCCTGACCTACGGACTGATCAGCTTCAAGAGAGGCAACACCCGTCAGTCTCAGCTGATGATGCGGGCGCGTATCCTGGCCCAGGGCTTCACCTTCGCGGCCCTCCTGGGAGGCATGGTGGTCACGGCCATGAAATCTAGAAAGTGAAATCAGGCCAGAGAGAAGCTGCGGCCGCGGGCGGGCGGGCGGGCGCCAGCCGGTGCCCCAGCTGGCAGGGTGGATTCTGGCTGCGGATGGAGTTTTCTGAGAGACAGTTGTGATGTCTCGGTGGAGCCAGTTGTCAGAGAGGCTCTGTGTTCCAGAGCACTGGAAATGCTGCTAATACACCCCTGTGATTAACCTGACATTTGGACCGTGGCATTTTTTGATTCCCTTAGAGCTTATCCTCCTGCAGCACTGGAGGCTGCGCCTCACTAAGGCTCTCCACCCCCATCAGACCTCTTGTCCCTGCTTGGTGCTGTCACAGTCTATTAAAATTGTGTCCTGTGGGCCGTGGTCTGCACTGAGGTGTGGCTTTAGTCAGGCGGTGCACCAACATTTGAGAAATGAGCTGCCCGGGTAGGAAGGAACAGCTCTGTTTATGGCTTGATCCTGGCAGGACAGAGTTCATGAGCAGCGGGTGAGTGGCCTGGGGACAGTATGTAATCTGTTTGGTTGCAACCGGTGAGTAATAAAGTGAATTGCAGCGAGATTCTGACTGATACTGGATTGCAGAGCGTTGAGAAGCCAGAAGAGTAAACAGTGTAGGAAGGAAGGGGAGCAGGCACGGCTGCCTCGAAGCTGTGGTGATGCAAGCAGGACACAAGAGAGGTAACTCCCTGTGAAAACAACTTCTTGGGAACTCGCATTTCTGAAACAGGGCCTGGCCGCGTTCTCTGGGACGTGCTGCTGCTTTGGCTGCTTTTGCCAGGGAGTCGGTTCCTGCGCAGCTCGCTGCTTCACGTGAGCTGGAACTGGCTGCTGGGCAAGTGCCCTGTTCCCAGAGAGAGCCGCGCTGCCCGCGTCGTGACAAACATTGTCACGGGCGGCTCCAGGTCCTGCCGTTGGCGTTGGAACACTTGGATCATACCAGGGGTGTTTGGTGAGCAGCGAGGCTAACGGGACTTTGCTCTCCTGTGTCAGGGCCGCAGAGCGGGGAGGAAATGGGGCCGTAGGCTCTGTTTGCTGTGTGGCTGCGGCGGCTTGTCCCTGCCTGTAGGCAGAGCGTACCTCCGCAGGGGAAAGGGGCGCAGACACTACTAACCGTGCTGCGATGTTGGGCTGCCTGGGGCGTTTCCAGGCTTTGCTCTCCGGGTGTCTGCGCGTTGGTGCCTGCGCCCCGGCCCTCCCTGGCCTGCGGTGGCTTTGCAGCTGGCTGCCTGGCAGCTCGCTGATCCCGCTTCGCCCTTACAAGCGGCTCTGGAGGAGAGGGCGAGGGGTAAACTCGCTCTGCCCGTGAACGAGCGCTTGGTTTGTCCCATCTGGGGAACCATGCTGGTGGGCCTCGGCAAGGACAGGGTGAAGGCTCTCGCCCACCAGAGCTGAATTCTGAAATGCGAGGGCGGGGGGACAAGCCATTGCCGGTGCCGAGCGGTGTGAGCTCCACCTCAGCAGGAGGGAGCCCGGTGCTCTGCCTGCTGTGGCACCGTGGCGCTGCCTGCCTTCCCTGGCTGGCTGCCTGCTCAGCACGTCTTTCCCACAAGCAGCTGCTTTTGGCTGCCTCGCTGGCACTTCCAGCCCAGCCAGCTTGGGGCAGGGGTGTGAGGGGCAGCTGGTGGGCAGATCTGCGTGGCAGAGCGGCGAGTGCAATCCCTTGGCATCCCTGCCTGGAGACGGGCACGGCGGGCTGGGGAGCAGCTCAGCCCGTCTGGACAAGCAGGAGCTTGCAGCTCCCCGGGGGCAGAGCAGAGCCCCCCCCGGTCCTGCTGCCAGCGCTTCTGCCCCGCCCTAGCGCAAACCCTCCGGCCCTTCCCCTCGTTCCTCTTTTTTCCTGTAGGACGTGGCTCCTCCAGCCCCGTCCTTTCCGCAGGAGGCTTCGTGGCTGTGGGTTCTCCTAAACACACGTGTGTGTGTTGCTGAAGCAGAAAGATGACAGCGCCTTGTAGGATTGGAGATGTCGGTTTATTGAAACAGGTGATTTGAACAGTCACAGATACCAAAGCCGAGGGGATGTAGAACAGCTGTGGGCATGGCTCCCCGGGAGCTGCCCCTGCCTGCCATGGGGTGCACAGCAGCCGGGGCACCCAGGGGCCCGGCTGCCTGCAGGGGCTGGAGGGACAGAGTGCAGGGGGGCACTCTGCCCCTGGGAAGCAGCCAGAGGCGCTTCCCGCTGCTCTGCAGTGAAAGGCGGAGGCAGGCAGCCAAGTCTCGAGGTATCATGCATCCGTGTCCATCCTGCACCACAGCAGAGCTGCCTACGCATGCTGGAGCGCAGGGGGACGGAGTAAGAGCGATCAGCCCTATGGACAAGGTGGCACAATCCCAGCACATAACACCGAGTGACTCCCTGTGCACCCATTTCCCTTCCCAGCCCACTGCTGAGCCTGTGCCCAGGAGCCAGGGGTGCCCGGTCACCCCACGAGGGCTGCAGCAGCAGGGCAGGTGACCTTCCTGACTTGAGCCGTAGCTGCAGGGCAGGAGAGCTCTGCATACTTGCTTTTTGGCTGAGCAGGGCTCTGCAGCGAGGCTCAAGCAAATGTTTTGTGGGCTCTGCTACATGTCCCCCCAGCCCACCGCTGTGAGCCCTTCCCAAGCCCCCGGCAGGCCAGATCCGGGGCACAAGCTCCAGACTGCCCCGCAGCAGGGTGCACGCAGGCCTGCCCCTCTCCTGCTACGCAGTTTTGCAGGTTTCCAGGGCTGGGCCCCCGAGCCAGAGGGGCTGGTGCCGGCCCCACCAAGCAGAGGAGAGAAAGCCGGTGTTCGGGCCGGAAAGCGTGTACCTGTGGGGGGGGGGAGTGGGCCTGAGGAATCTCGCCACGCTGCCTTAGGTGTGCAAATCCAGCGGGGTGCCAGAGAGAAGCCACAAAGCAGCTGCAGACAGATGTGCAGCTTGTTCTCCAGGGACAG